TGGTCACAAGTCAATTGTTGTGAACTTGTGACGTTTAGCCGGTAACGCAGTAACAATAGACCGAGTCCCGCGGGATCAGATTAGTTAACTCTCACTTATAATGGACGCTAAAGGTTATACGTATCTTTCCATTTAGTTAGTTATAGGTTTTTAACCAGATTCTAAGAAGGTTTTGCTTAGGACGAGTGTCATCATGAAAGTATGTCTACCAGAACAGCAACTGTAGCGCTTGTCTACATGTAGAATAGAAAAACAAAATTTTATGGAATTGACGTAAATTTTGAAACTTGTTAGTGTCATCCCCATACATTTAGTTTCATAATCTCTCTGTAGACAAACGCTAAAGTGGCGTTTGGCTAAAGGCACTGGGCCTCTAGCCAAAAGCCACTTTAGCGCTTGTCTACAGTGAGAGTAGAAATCAAAATGTATGGGGATGACACTGACAAGTGTCAAAATTTACGTCAATTCCATATAATTTGGTTTTCTACTCTACATGTAGACAAGCGCTAAATGGCATTTGGCTACAGCTGCTGGTACGATGACTCTATTGTACCTAGTCATTGCCATCATTCGTTATCTACCATCGTCACTTTTTAAACTGTTCGTCACAGCAAACAGCACTAGCTCAAGATTAAGCATTAAAAAATTATATCTCAATCTAATTATAAATTATAATACCGTCTAGACGTAGCTCATAAAAATATAGCTTCGTATTTTTCAACTTACCCGCGCCTACCGCCGTCTACACCGTAGCCGTCTCAAGTGGGTAATTCAATAACATTTTATAGAAGTTTTCGATCCAAAATAATCACAGACTGCCACATTATCGTCTCGTAAATGTATCGTTATTCTACTGCAAGTGCTCCGTGTCGCCATTTTGGCACAAATCCTAGTTTACGATCCAATTAATTTCCCGCTCCAATCGCAGAAACAGAATTTTAAACCGACGCCGCGACAGAATGATTTCATTACGTTCCCACTGCGTTCAGTTTTCGAAAAATTAGGACATAATCGTGACCTACTTGTAATTTTTAAAGCGGATTGCATAGACGTTGAATCCGATCGCTTTTTTAATGTTTCGGATTAGACATAGGGATGTGCAACGATTTTGGAAACCTTATAGGTGAGCTCGAAGAAATATGCATACCTAATTTTATAATCTGTTTAACTAAAAGGACCTTCGTTGGCTGCTTATTAAAAATCTTAACACTTGTCGGCCAGCCTCTGTCTATTGCTAGATTTGCCAACTACCTCTAGAAATAAAATGCCAAATTTCGATGGAGCTCATGTCAAAGTTTTTGTCTTTAATAGCCAAATCTTTAAATAAATGATTGAGGTTGACCGTAAAAGTACACGAAATGATTTAAAAGTTTTCCTTCCGTTCACTAAACTACGTGAGAAAAACATTTTAAATTTAAAGCCCTGCATTTTGTGGATTCATGAAACCATTTCCGACATACAGGCATTTTAAAACGTGAAGAGCATTGCTGAGAAATTCGCAAAATAAATTGCGCTAAGTGTACTAAAAGTCTAAAGTCAGTTTCAATATTAAAACGTTTCAATGGTATACCGTGGTTTACCACGTTTTGGGTCGACCGGAAAAAATACAATGATACCATATAGTTACAATCATCATTGTCATTAGTGCACAAATCCATTACAAACACCATAAGTGCTAAGCTATTCTCACTTATATTATGTAAAACCAACTCGGTGGTTGAGTTTTTGAATTATTGTACTTAATATAAGGCTATGAATATTCATAATAAAGTTGTAATAAGAACAATGTGCCATTTCTTGAAATAAACTTATTAGCATTCTGTTGACAAAGCACTAAAATAACTGGAATTGCGGTGATATTACAATAGTATTTATGCCGCAGTGACCGAGTCGGATTGTTTCAAAATATTTCAACGTTAACAATTTAATAAGACTTCGATGGTGCTTTTAATGTTTTGGTAATGATACCAATACAGACAAGTTCAAATTCTGTTCTTGATTAATTCGAAAATTGAAAACTGAAACCGCTCACGAGCCGCTCGCTAGCTGAGCGCGTGCAGTCATGGCAATGGTTTGGTACTCAATGCATACAACTTTCATATATTGCCGTCACCACTCGACACTGGCAGTAACAACAACACCGTTAAGTAAGTCGACAACACCGTTTTGGAGACTCGGTTATCAGAGAAGAAAAAAAAAGTTTCATTTAAATAATAATTTTAAACGCACATGCGCAGCTCACGGGCGATTCGCGAACGGCTCGCGAGCTACATATTCGCGGAGCATTCGGTATATGTGGACGCACCCTTAGAAAATCTTCTCGCTTACCTATCATTATTATTATACGAACATCGGAGCACAATGACAAAAAAAATGAAGATCGATTTATTCTGAGCGACGCGAAGCTCGTGTTCAATTAGTAGCAATAGCAATTATACGATAATTGCATTGCATCGTGCGCTGCCATTACTGTAGCGGTATTGACACGTCATGTCGTAATTATGGTTTCACGCTCTACGGCTGAACACTGAACAGCTGAACACGCACGCATTAACAAACTAATTGATTTAATATCAACCACTGAAGAGTGAATAAGGCTTTGTGAAGTAGCGGTAATGGCGTCTTTAGGATAAGTTAACATTATTTGCAGAAGGTATTCAGATGAAAAAAGGGATGTACCTACTTAAAAGCTGCTATTTTTCTTTGGATGCCTTTACAAAAACTGTTCAGGTGATGAGACCTATGTTCAAAATTAGAAGTCTTGTAGCTAACCTGATAATGCTGGTGATGATTCTTTAAAGTTCTTTTGATTTCGTTCATCAGTACATAAGGTTACCTATTGTGGAGTATTAATATATTGTATAAATACCTATCCTATGTATTATAGTATGAGTGATTAAGCTGTAAAGAGATGTAAAGAGAGCTGTGTCTTTGTAAAGAGATAAAAAGATTATGCTCATCCAAGCACACACGATTTTATAGCATTTCCGAGTTTCTATTCAACAATGTATGCATAATGCGTCGACGCGAGATAGGATTAAATTCTTGTCGACACAAAATAATAGAGGAAGAAGAGCTAAACCTATATAATTAATTATTTGTAGTATTCGACTATTATTCTTTCATTACTCAAGAACCGTTATTATTAAAGTAAATAAAAAATTAACAGTGGATTTTATAGAAATTACATTTATAAAATTATTTTCATAGCCTGACGTCCACGTCAAAATGTCGTGAAAACTCGGTTCCACTAACAAATGGACATTACATTTAAAATATTCAAAGCTATTTACAAAGGTAGTCATTAAGGTCACGTCTAATTATGACTGGACTAGACTAGGTATAATGTTTTTATAATTATGTATCATTCAGGTGTAAAAACGTGGATACTTCAATATTTGAAGATTTTTTTATACAAAATGTTTAAGACTTGATATAAGTGATGATCTAATTAGTCACTATTGTTAGACGACGAAAATCAACTAAATGAACGTCTCTAATTTAATCTGTGTTATCGACAGCACTAGTTGTCATGTTGACGCTGTCATCTGTCAAATGTGACAGTAAAGTTTCCCGCGCAAAAGAGATTCGGATAAAATCGGATTGGGAGCTTAAACAATCATTACCCGGTTTCCTCAAAAAATATGTTTGAAATAAACTTTCAACATTAAATATTGATAGTTTTTACTTAAAACTACTTAGCTAAAAGTTTGTTTATTCGAACGTGCATTTTTTATTTATGACATTATTATGTTCTCAAAGGAAGGAAGCAATAGTGAGCTATCCAATATTGAGTATGATAATAAAATTAGGCGAAGGTTCGTCTAGTTGGTTCTGAATGAAAATTTACTCTGAGGTTGATCATGCCTAAGTGTTTACTAACACATAGGCCACTTTCAATTATAGTAACATGAGTGAAGCTGCTAGTAGAAGTTAGTTAGAAATAAAACCCTATGGAAACACGGAACTGATGGTAATTTGACGCAATCAAACTATTTCTAATTGATACCACTTAGGGTTCCTCATAATTAGAAATGTCGTTAGGTGTAGATATAAGCAGTCGTTTCTGAATCAATCGATGGAATTGACGTATGAGAAGTAATATAGTTTGTTTTTTGGCAAAACTTCCAGACTTTTTGTTGTTGATTTGATACAATACATCACTCAATGTCTATCTAGCTTATTCTAGCTATTAATCTTTTTCATTATCAATGTAGACATGTATAAATAATTTCTGTCAGCAGCTTCGCCCGCGTTAAAAGTAATAACCAAACATAGTATATGTAATAGGTATTGGTAGGTTACATTCCTATAGTATTTTGTACGTATATCACAGTATTTTATTTTGTAAGTTGATATTTAGATTTTTACGAGCAAAGCCGCTGGCAGAAATTAGTTAGTATAAATATACATATACCTACATATAAATAGATCGTTCCCAACAATAGATTAATTATTCATTTCACTGTTTCACACGATGATTGATTACAGAACAAAATATTTGGTAAATAAAACCAATGTTGGCACTGTTTGAGGTAGGTTTTAGCATTTTGTTTGATTTGATTCGATTTTAATTGAACCAGTGAGTTGGTAAATATTGTTTGATAAATTAAATCGTTTTACATGAAACGGAATGACGCATTGAATTAGGATTAGTATTCTGAATATTTTACTAAGGTTCAAAATTGTTCACATTTTACTTTCATGTTGTGATTGTAAAACTTTTTGGCCCCGTGAGGCGTCAGATCTTTATTTTATGCTTTGTGCCTTGTATACTGCCCTTTCAGCTTCCGAATCCACGTGCCTCTTACAACCAGCCAACCTCGGAGTCATTGAAGTAGGCCTACGTAGAAGTAATACAACTTAGTTGTCGTAGATGTAGAAAAGAAAACAAAATCCTATCGCCCACATATTCACAGAAAACTAGACGATACAGTCTACAGTTCTCAGCATTTCTTTCCTTTATAAAAGTTAATAGTAACAATTTATTTTGTTGGCAGGTGCTCCCCGGGCTGTACGTGGGCAATTACCGGGACTCTAAGGACACGGTGCAGCTAGACAAGTACAAGATCACACACATCCTGTCCATACACGACGCCGCGAGAAGATTGCATTCGGTGAGTCCATTAGTTATCATATTTTTATCTGTAGAATGGAAGAAAGATTTTTTTCGTTATTTTTAAACTACGTGTTCGTTTTTTAAATCGATTTGAAGAATTGTGGAAGGTGTGTAACGTTCGTTTAGTTTTACTTACAAGTAAATATTGGAAGAAGTAATGACAACACTAGATAGCTATCGTGAGACATACTAAATTAACTGAACGTTGCTCAGCCTACGACATCACCGCGACCACGCACGCTGCTCACGAGGAAGAACCACTCTGTGGTTCGAAACTAGTAGAGCTTTGCGCGGTATTTTCACGTGAGTAACCCGCAATTTTTAGTTAGCACAAGATAGGTAAATCTGGAGACAGTTTATTAGTTCTTGCACAAGAAGTAAGTCGACAGACCTCTTGTTTGGAAACAAAAGAGTTGACCCATTCTAGACAGTGTTGAGTGTCACCCATCCAACACTTGACCGCAATAACGTTGTCTAACATCAGATCCATATAAACTGTTGCCATTATCATGTGTGTTAATTTTTGCGACACATTTTTTGACCCTTGGTTTGCTGAAACGCAGATCTAATCTAATGTTGACTGCACGGTTGGTGCGACCCGAAACAACACTTTGTGTGATCCACAAATTGTTGTTTCGGGTCTGGGTGTCATGTGTATGTGAACTTGTATGTTTGTAAACGCACCCACGACACAGGAGATAATCCTAGTGTGGGGCAAAGTATTAAAAAAATATATATTAAGTATCAGTATCACCGTTTACCATTGATTAAAAATAACATTTTTGATCACTACAAGCGAAAAATGCAATTTAAAACAATTGCAAACTCTATACACAACGTGATGAGTAAGTAAGCCGTAGCCTGAAAGGCTACAATTTTAAGTCGCGCTTAAATATTTTTTTATTATGGGATAAGCCGGTAAACGAGTATACGGATCACCTGATGGTAAGCTATCGAACACCAGAGGCGTTACAAGTGCGTTACCGGCCTTTCGGGATTAGAATTTGAGGATTGTTGGAGATTCAGGGATAGGGGAAAGGGGGGGGGGGGTTGGGCCTCCGGTAACCTCGCTCACACGACGAAACACAACGCAAGTGTTTTTCACATCGGTCTTCTGCTCAGCCGTGGTATCACTCCGGCCGAGCAGACCCATTCGTGACGAATCATGGCTCTCCCACACTTAAGAATAAAATAAATATAGTTCTGTCACTACAAATACTTAGTCAAATGACAGAGATGGCACGATATTTAAATACAACTTCAAATTGAGTAACCTTTCAGTATTCGGTCGTAAGTAAAAGTATGACTGACATATAAAAAAATACATCAAAGAAAACAATTTATTAAATTAAGTGAAGTAGTTACAAAGCGCCATTACTATGTATTTTATTACTACTATTGTATAGTTACACTGATTCATTCCCAGAATAATTACTTTTAATGTACCACTGTACCAGTACCAATAAATGTTTTTCATTGGGGTCGAATGACGTCATTTGCGGGGTTTAACTTTTATTGCCAGTCATAAGCGCTTCTTTCTCTGCTACTTTAAATGGTGCTAGAAAAAATATAAAGCTATATAGATAAAGTTATTTTTTTTACACATAAGTAACATATTGTAGCTATACCTGAGTAGATAGAGTATATTAAAGTTACCCCCTTTACTGAGGTCTTAATTTGTTTTAAGTTTGATGAAATCGAAACGATATAGCTTTCGACGCTCTGATTGGTTGGTTTATTAGAACCGGCCAATCAGAGCGCCGAACATGTACTCGCTTTGATGATTAGGTACTTTAAACGTATGCCTATGCTTGGTCAACTGACTCCAATGAAACAACCATAGATATAATACTGCTTTAAATATTTCTATGGAATTAACGCGGTAAAGTTTCGATCTTGTTGAACCTAAAACAGACTAACTAGTACTAAGTGATGTAAAAGTAACACTCAGCACTCTGTTCTCACGAGTACATAGGTAGTGTCATTTTGTATTGGATCGCAACTTATGACGTCTTCAAACTTCTGCATCAAATAGCATACATAATTCCTTGAAATTAGCAAGAAAAAATGCAAAAGTAGGTAAATTGTCAAATCAATGGATGAGAGTATGATTATTTTTTAGTTATTCATTGCATTGAAAAGTTGCAACAATTTACTATAAATCTAGGAAAGTAGCTAATTCGTGATAATCCACTCCTGGACTATTTTTTTTAAGCGGGGAAAGTCATCGAAGCCTGGGTGAGGCGGGAGGGAGTGTAAGACTCTTACTGAATAAAAACCACCTCGTTCCTTCTCCTGCACGTCGAGCCGGAGACTATTGGGCCTCCTTTACGTAAGGGTGTCATGACAACATAATCACTACCCTTTACAAGTGATTTCGAGTTCGCGGTTTATCAAGTAGGTAATTTTATCTACCAAAGAATGCTGCTGCCCAGTCTTTGTCGAATCAATAAACCCTCCGTCGATTTTTAAGACACCAGCGCGAAAAGAAGGGTTGACGATAAAGATATTTTACTCTGCCGTTAGCACAAGCCATTGTCCTAATTACTTAGATGAATTTAAAGTAGGTACCTTATGATAAATACGTTAATAAAGCTACGACCTTGTATGTAAAATGAGTTGAACTCTCGAAGGTGTTGATGAGTCTAGTCATATTCATGACACAATCTGCTCGTCACGTAAGTAATTAATTTTGGTACACTCAATTATAGTACCTACCTACGAAGTTACTCAGCCGTGAAGGGCATAGTTCACGACGAACTAGCGATGCGATGGGGAATTAACTCGTATAGAAACTAGTAAACTTTGTTTAGATTTTAGTGTATAATTAACTGTTGCCCCCGACTTCGTCCGCGTAGAATATGAATTTTACAACATAACTTTGTTAATGTTTAATTTTTTCAAAATAAAAGTAGCATATGTTACTCTTCAGTACATCAGCTACTTGCTAATAAAAGTCTTGCAAAACCTGTGCAGCCATTTCAGAGATTCGCCAGTATAAACAGACAGACAGACACAAATTGTAAAAAAAATAAATTAGTTAATTAGGTATGTGTATCGTATGTATATGCATGTACTAAAAAGCGGTTATTTTAATATTAGAAACAGACACTCCAATTTAATTTATCTGTATATAGTGTACATATTGTAATGCTTTTGATATGATATATCTAACAATTTACACCCATCTGATATGTTATAAGTCCTATTTAATTTAAGACGAGGTAATCCTATTGCAATATGGCAGGTACAATCACAAACTCCGTGCTTTCACTATCATTGTCAAAAAACACTTAACATAACATCACGCCTTTTATTCTCGAAGGGGTAGGCAGAGCACATTTCGACACTTAATGTCGCTGTACATTGTTATAACACCCACTTTTCACTATTTATGTTTTGAGTCCCATGTAAAAACCGGGCACAATTCCAGACTCTGTGCTGCTACTGAGATATTAAAAAAACACATTCATATTTTGCCCGAACGAATCAAACCCGTGTCCCCTGGCTCGGCAGTCGCACTTGCGACCACTCGGCCAACGAGGCATTCTCTCAACGCAAAAATCTCAATAATTCTTTTTCCAGACACAAAAACCATAATATTGTGATATATTATTACTCATTCAACTATTTAAGTACGTATTTGTTATGTGTTAAGTTTATGATTTCCATATAAAAGTGTACTATAATGCCACCTAAATAAGTAATATTCGTCATCAATACTCCGTTTAGTTATTTATTGGTATGTTTTCACAATAAATAACTTAACAAAGTTTTGACATATAAACCATATATCATAAATTATCTGTTATTATTACATTAATAAGTTTTGTATTCGGCATTGAAGCGTATGGTAGGTTATGTGTCAAACTAGTCGATTGTACAATAGTACGTACAATAAAAATTCTACTCAAAGTAAAAGCAATTAAAATTCATTTTCAAATAGCCATTCGTAGTACATGAAAAGCATGAATATCGTTACGGTTTCAAAAACGAATTTACGTGTTTTAATTATTTTATAGCGATGTTAATTAAATAATGAGGCTTTGATATTTTGTTACATTAAGTTCTCATTAACGTTTCGGTAATAATAATTAATAATTAATTTAACAACACGCTTGTTGTATTTTGAGGGGTTGCTAGAGGTATAAGGCTACTTATGTGATCACAGAAAAATTTTGGTAATGTAAGCCGATGTGTAAACTATTAAAAAAAACTCCTTATATTGCTTACGTTGTGGAAATAATAGGTAATAGAGCAAAGTAATACATTAAAGTAGTATAGAAGACATACATATCAACATAAACGTCCACGATTGTGTAACAATTACAGTTATGCCGAGTATATTAGTATAACGAGAACTATGTGTTAAATCCCGGACTCTCTGTGTTAAACCCTAAACCACTGAACCAATTTAAGTGAATTCAGTACAACGATAGTTTTAAGCTGGAGAAAAGACATATAACAGTTTTTATTACTTGAATTCTCACGGGGCGGACACTATACGGCTAAAACTGAAAATACCGACACGACCGACACGCCAGATACAATAAACACGACAAACACGACCGACACAACGGATGCGACTAATTCGACCGACACGATTGATACGACAAATACGACGGACGCGATAGATACGACAAACACGACCGACACGCCAGATACAATAAACACGGCAAACACGACCGACACAACGGATGCGACTAATTCGACCGACACGACAGATACGACAAATACGACCGACACGACAAACACGACCGATACGACAGATACGACCGATACGACAGATACGACCGACACGACACATACGACAAATACGACCGACACGACAGATGCGACAAATACGACCGACACGACAAATACGACCGATACGACCGAAACGACCGACACGACAAATACGACAAGCACGACCGAAACGACAAAAGCGACTAATACGACAAGCACGACCGAAACGACAAAAGCGACTAATACGACCTACAAACCAAATACGACCGATAC